GAAATTCGTCAAAGATACTATGATTTATGTTTAAAAATTGAATGAAATTTGTGAAATAAAATTTTTAAGTGTTTTGCATATATTAACTCAATTTTTTGATCTACAAAAAAAATCAAAGGAAAAAAAGGTGCTCCATCTTATGTCCTACAAGATTGCACTTTTCAAAAATCAAAATTTTGATTTTTCATTTTTTTCACGTTTTTGAACGTTTGACTGGTGTTAGAGCGATCGGCCAAGCGCTCAGCGAGTTATTGCACGCAGCTACTCAATTAGTGGTCGAATAAGAAAGGAGAAAAATATGCAGCGTCATTCAGCGGGCAGGCGACGCGGTGGGTTCGAGAGGTGTGCCAGAGTTCACACCACCATTTGATATTCAGCGGCCGGACCTTCTTACCCAATTGGCTGATAGGGTCCTGAATCAGCGGCGGGATAAAAATATGGAAAAAGAAATGGCCAACGATAGTTCTCATTCCAGAGAGTTGAAGGAGAACATGGCGTCCACATCGAGTGACATTAGGTCAGAGCCCCCCGCCGAAAATAAGACTGTAGTTGAAGAGGTGTCCTTTCCACCTCGAAGGTTGAAGGGAGAAAGTAAAGAAGAGTGGGAGAGCCGACCGGCTATGTTAGGGTTGGCATTAACGGTTGAAGTTGGAGATTCAGCGGCTAATCAGCGTGTGGTGGAACTTAAAATCCAACAACGTGTGAAAATGGCGAATCGCAGGAGGGAACGTTTAGATGCTGCCGATTACGTTTCCATGGTCGTAGGTACCCCAAGGTCAAAGCCCGAAGTGCTGGATATTGATTTACCAGGTCCATCTACGGCTGTGGTAAAAAAGAGCCCGGGAATGTTAACAAAACGTGGTTCCAATAATGTCAGCGGAGCTTTGGCGGTGATTACGTCAGGAAGGATGTTCGGTGGATTAGATCCGATTCCGACCGACCCGGAAGTCGACCCACCCTTCGGAGTTTGCCATAATTGTTGGCGTGAGGGTCATATATTGAGGGACTGCAAGGAATATATGAATTTGTTTTGCCGAAATTGTGGGGTAGTATTGAAGGAGTGCCCACGATGTCGTCGTGTTCACCATCTTGATATGGTGAGAAAATTTGGAGAAAAAGGGTATTAGGAACACCTCGATAAGCGTGTGAATCATTTCGATAACAAATACACAAAGGATCCTCGAGCAAGTTCTTCTGCCCTCGTTCGGACGACTTCGCCTGAACGATTAGTAGCGGCAGTCAGCGTGCCAGTATCGTCAGTGGTAACAGGCGATATTTTGCAAGAGTTGAGAGAACTCAATTCCATGTTGGAGGGGGTGCCTGAAGATCTGGCACGATCCATTAAAATAGATTTTCTGCGTCAACGTCAGCGTAGAGAATAAATTAATCAGCGTGTGAAGTTTCGTTTTTTTTGAGTTTCTTAATTTGAGTTTTGATTTTGTATTTTTTTTTGTTTGGGTCCCATTTGATAAGTCTCAATATAAGAGGACGTGATCTCACTAATGTAGTAAGATATTAGCTGATAATTAATAATTAATAAATGGCATTTTGATTTTGTGCTGAATTAATGATATTTGGTTATATTATTTAACCTCCCTTTTTTTGTTGTTATTAAAATTTGGCTGTGTCTAGTAGTTCATGTCATTTGGCATTGGTTTGATATTTATCGGCAATAATGTCAGAGACATTTTTGGCCTAGGGGAGGGGTTTATAACGAAGGATTCGTTATAATAAATATTCTGAGGAATATTTATATTATTCGTCAATTCTTTGACATCAGCGTCAAATATGTCACACAGGGAGATCTATTCGTATGCGAGTATGATTGTGCGTGTCAGCGGTTTTCCTTAGTATAGGTGGTTCGTTGTCCAATGAAGGATTAGGAAGTTCCCGATATTTCCGGATTCTCACCGATCAAGGGCCAGCGGGAAGGAAGAAGGCGCGCGATAATCAATCGACAGATCAATCCGAGCTGCCGTGTAAGACTGATGTGTGCCGACAAATGTGTTAATGGATTATTAGTATTGAATAGTGTATTACAAGTTGTTAAATAAATAGTTGTTATATTGTTTAAATCGAGTTATTGTGTCTTTAATCCTTAGGGTCAAGTCGCAGCCACATCGTCGTTTCAGCGGATTATCTCAATAAGGTGTGTTTAGTGAGTACCATAAATAAGAGTAACAGGTAGTCCAAATCAGGTCGTCGTCATCGTGTTTCCCGATCGTCTCAGTGGAATCTCCCCATGAGAGAGGCTCGTATGCCGGAGAGTAGTGTGTAGCAAAATCCCAGTACGTAATTTAAACACGGGATTGTGGAATATTGTTATTTTAATTAATATTTCTAATATCTAAATTAGCGTTACACCTTTTTCACCGAGACTAGATTCGACAGGAAGGAGTTTCGAGGAGTTTAGACGGATCACCGGAGAGTCAACATTTTGATTTGTCGTCGTGGGTAAGTCCAATTTTGTTGTGTCGTGTCTCGTTTCTCCTTTTTCGTCTTTTCTTTCGTTCAACGTTCGGAAGGTCTGACTCTTGTCATGTCTTGTTAGAAATGATTACGCGTATGATTGATCGGCGCTTAGAGTCACGTGGTCTGCGTCTCATCCAGTTTTCCCTTTAGGTGATGACCGGTTGGGGTGACGAGGATAGATGTATGCAGATTTCCGGACTACCAAGAAGGATGTACTAAATTCTAGGAAAAGCGGGCCTTATTAGGAAAATTGGGATTTTCGGATTTCACTTATCTGACAGACACCATTATCACGAGTCGCGTTTTCATTAAAACCGATTTGGTTATAATATATTCTTTGTTATATAATTGTGTAGTTATAATTTTCTTTAATTAATAAATTTGAGTTTTATTATTAAATTGAGTGCGAGATATTTTTTTTTATATTTTGCATCTTGGGATCAATTTGGCGGAAATTCTTAGCAGTCGGCGTCTAATCAGTATCGTTGGCGCCATGCGGTCTCTCTAAGGTTGATTGTCTCAAAGTATTAGGCGTTGTTTCGAACGGGTTTTACATCGCCCTATCCTTGGCAGGATTCCCCCTTAGATTTTGTGCATTTTAAGGTTTTTTGAGGAGTATTCCATTTTGGGGAAACATGTGTGATTTTTCTTCATTTTTAGAGATTTTTAAAATATTATTTTTAAGCAATAATTCCCAATTACAAAATTTAAAAATTACGCATGGTGATTGGCCGCGCGAGCTCAGTGGGCCGGTGGGCGGGGCATAGCACGTAATTTTTAAACTTTCAATTGCAATTTAAGGCCAGGTCCAAGTCGTGTCAGCTGTTCCATTGAAACTTCAAAGGAACAGCTGACTCGACTTGGACCTGGCCTTAAGCAAAAACTATAAAAAATTTTGAAAAACTGTATAAGACTTTTTGTCTTATTTTTTTCCGTAGAATGTGTACCTTTAATATGTACATCCATGACTGGGATACCTTATATATAAGTTATGATGAAGTAATGGGGAAAGAGAATTTTTATAAAGATAGGATAATTGCTCCTGGTGCATAAAATAATAATATACACTGGAACCTCCAACCATTGCAGGGCGCGAGTCTTATGTGCAATGGATGGAGGTTACCCTTGACGTCAAGGTTATGTCAAAAAGTGGAAACACTCAGGGCCGTACATATTATATACTTATGTATGGGATATATGTTCGAATAAAAATTGAGATTAATTTAATTCTTTATAAAGTAGAAAAATGTAAATATAATTACGTACATTTGAATTATGATAATGCAGTTTATAATATCGATAACTCCGATCGATTGTTTAAATTAGAAAAAAGGAAAAAGAAACTGGGTCTAAAAGAACACGTAACTGTGATGTTACTGCTTTTTCTTAACTGACGCCATTTTTTCCCCTCTAACTGTTCTTTCCGCTGCCCACCAAGTTTTGGTAAACAACTGCAATGGTCAGAGATGCACACGATGCTAATTTCGAAAATCATTCGGCTTAACTATTACGTTCTGTGAATGTGAATAGTTTTTGTTGATTAAATGGCTTATTGCATGGCAGTTAACCAATATACGTATGTGCATTAGCTCACCGAGTTAACCCCTACGTTGGCAAAAGGAATTCGAGAAAAAGTGCCCAAAATGTACAGAAAAATTTTGTCTTGAAAATTGGTATCCAGGGGTTTTCAGGATCGCTGATTACGAATTCGATGTTAGTTTTTCAAAATTCAAAATCGGTTCGTTTTAAACTTTCTACTAACGGATTTTCAGGGTCGCGGATATAGTATGCCGGATGTTTTTTTAAAAAAATTATCGTTTTTTCCAAAAAAATGAGTTTTTGATATTGATGATTACGAAACTAAAGTCACATTAGCCAAGTTTGATTAGCCACCCCAAAAACCGTAAGATACAATTTTTAGTCATCATTCATCCGCCATATTGGATCCTCTAATTTGAATTTTGGAATTCTGACTTCGGATTCGTAATCAGCGTCTCCAAAAACTCCTTAGTACTAATTTTTAAGCAAATCCAAGCAATTTTTTAAAATATCGTCCACCATATTAGTTCGCCATATTGGTATATGAAATGAATAGTTGACGCGTAAACGCGTCAATGCCAACGAAGAGGTTAAAAAGTGTTGGTCGACCACATAACCTTCAACTTTTTGGTCACAAAAGAAATTGAGATTTATAGAAAAACACGATTTCTATTCAATGAGTACACTCGATTTTTCTCTTATAATATTGACAGATAAAATATTATAATACAGTACTGTCGCGTTAAACCGGCACTCCTCGTAATCCGACAACTTTCTTATAGTGTAAATTGTTACATAGTTTATGTAAATAAAGAATGAGTCTAGAAACTTTAAATTAAAACTTTTTTAAATGTCGGATTATAGAGTACTTGTTGTCAATTTTGTCCGAACTATAGAAGTTTGTACAGGTACTAGCGCGACCGTATTGTAGTTCTTTAAATATAATTTAATACTTTATCACTCTCGTTCATGGTTAATAATATTCAAACCTGGTTCTAAATCTCCAAGTATTTCAGTAGATATATTTGCATTGCGCATACGATGAATACCAAGAGTTTGATAGTCAATGCAACTGGCTGCAGCTTCATTACTAGAATCCGACAATTCATCTCCTACTTGACAGTTATCCTGATTGCAGTTAATACGCATAAATGTTCCTCCTGGTTGGGCTACTAATAGTGTCGGAGTGCCATCTTTCGCATGCTAAAGAAATTAAATTAAACAATACAATACAATGCATATTAAGTTATTAAATGAAATTGTAAATTCCATTCACGGAAATAACCTAAAACACATACAGATTGTGGAGTTCAGATCTAGCTGGCATGCTTATAAGACGTGTTAAACGTCGCCTGAGTTTACCATATTTATCATAAATAGAAATTTTTAATTAAATCAGTTTAATATGCGATAAGGATAATGGAACTGGAATATTTGTGCTACATTTGTTTTTAAAGTGATTTTGTACTTGCAAAAACCATTCTTACAACTAATTGATAGTGAAAGGTTGGAAGGGAAATTTTTGGAGCCACATGGTCTTGTCCGCTATATCTATCGATTGACGCACATGTGGATCAGGATTGAAGCCGGTATTCTGTACGGAATTTAAATCGTCAATGGGTCGGATGGTGTTGCGATTGTTAATTCCATCCATCAACTTCTCTGAATATCCGTATTCTTGTCCCATGAAATATTAATATAAGGAGGCTCAATGATATTTATATTAAAATTACAATTTTACTTTAACTAAGTTAAGTTTTGTAAATGCCACGTTTTGTAGAAAACAATGAAATCTTGACCTCTAAATTGAAAGTTTCAAAGCAAATATTCTATGTCGAAGGACAAGCATAATTTGTAAATAAAAATAAAACTCTAACATTTAAAGTAAAAACTAATCTCTTCAAATTTAATTTAAATTTTAGAAATGAAATAAAATTATATTCCCTTAGATGCATGACGCATCACACTAGTAAATCAGTCCTATCGGTTTTGAGAATGAAATAAAATGAATAGAATTAACATCGATACAAAATTGAAAGTATTGGGATGTAAGAGGTTAGTTGTATAAAACTAATTAATCTGAAAAAAAAATTATCATTATTGTGTTAATTTTCTCTTTTTAGCTTTGATAAATATATAAAGAAATATTTTGTTAATAGGCTATCTCGAGCTTGCAATCACCAAAAGTGATCGATATATTTGAATATTAAAATATCTCTTTTTCGGCAATGCGAGTGATACTAAAATAAATAATGGTCCTTATGGATGAGATCATTTTATAAAATTTAATTGAAGATAATTTATTCCCTTGAGAGGTGGTATAGGCGCGTTTTCAGTGCCAATTTACGATAGGAAAATTTCAAAACTATTATCCTGTCAACACCATCTATCATCAATTCTGACATGGAATCGCTTTTCTTGATTTCCAATGATATTGGATTAACAACTAGATTCGAATCCTTTAAAAATTCTAATGACGTAAATCGACAAGATGAACAAACTATTGAACAACGAAGTTATCTAGATGAATTTCTCATTTGGAATAATCCTATTACTTTAATTTCTCCTACTTTTGATGAAAAGTCTTCTCCTCCTTATATAGTATTAATGAAGTGTCAAATTAATAAACTCAATGTTCGCAAATTTAATCCAATCGTGGTAGCGGATTTGGTACAATCTATTATTGCAAGAAAAAGATTGATACAACGCAGTGGCATCAATCGTGTGAAAATTACTTGCGAATATAGGGAGGATGATAATCGCTTGATTAATTCTCCTATTCTTATCTCTAAATTTTATAAAGTTTATATTCCCAATTCTCTTAAATTTACCAAGTGCGTCATTAAAGATGTGGATTGTTCCATTTCAGTGAATGATTTTATGTCTAGACTGGACCCAGATGTTGTTCTTAGAATAGCCTCCATTAGACGTAGGGTCACCTTTAATAAACACATGCTGGAGCCCATGGAAATAAAATATTTTGGTACTGCTCCACTTCCAAATATTTTGGTTTCATCGTTTGAGTTTCTCTTAACTCCTATAATTATGAAGCCTATAAGGTGTTTTTATTGTCAGCGCTTCCGCCATGTTGAGTCTCAATGCAGATCTAGATATTCTAGATTCATATATTGTAGTGATTCTCATGATTCGGGTAAATGTAAAAACGGTTTAAGAAGAGCAGTCTGTTGTTATTGTCAGGACAATCATCCCGCTTCTTCAACTAGCTGCCCTTTGTATATCAGGGAAAGTGAGATACAAAGGATTAGGGCTGAATTTGGAGTGAGATATCAAGAGGCCGAGAAGAAATTGAATCTGCTTAGAAATTATAGCTTAAATAGGAGCAGATCCATTCCAACTAATCAAGACTTAATAAGTCATAATTCTGATCACAATTCTACCTATAATGAATCCGATACTACGAATGAAGCAACTATCGTTGCTACACAGTAAAAGTCTACTAATTCTCCTCAATTCTTGAATCTTGATGAGTTGATGGACACTTCTCAAAATTCACCCAAGGACATTGAATCCCCTAGTCAAAATAAAACAAACGAGACTGACAGTCCTTTTCAGTCTCTCATAGATTTAGAAAATCACACTGATCCTCATATGATTGGCAATAAACAAACAGGGGTCCCCTCATCATCTCATATGCCAATGATTCCCTCTGTAAGTGAGACTTTTAATAAGAAACGAGATGCTGATTTTTTAACGCGTTCTTTATCAATGATAAACCCAAATCAAAAAACAGTGTTCTATAAAATGCCTTCTGCAACTAGTTCTCCAGAAGAAACTTTAAATGAAACTAAGAGAGCTAGAACTAAATCGCCAAAAGTGTAAATATAAATTTGTACCCTCTTTAGTTTCTTTTTCCGTGTTGTTTGCTCTTTTGTCCGTTTGGTACTTTTTCTTTTGTTCAATTAAATTTAAATCTGCCGCGTATATAGGTGTTTGCTAAACTTAGACTTTTGTTCGGCGCTATCCTACTCCCCACATACCTTGGTATGTGGGTAAAGTGGAATATTGGCTTTGAACAATAATGTCTATAAAAACCCCCGAGCCCTGTATTGACACCGATGATTGGAGTCAATTTTAGCACCAAAGGGGTGGTGAATTCAGGTGTAGCAGGGCTATTTAATTGATTAACTGATTTTAAGTTTAGTATATCCTAATTCCATTTTATCAAGTGCAAGTGTACTAGGTCGATCTAAGTGTAGCAGCCAATCTTGCATTGCTTGGAAGCTTTGAACATGGAAACAATAAACAGTATCTAAATCAAAACAATCGTTTGTGACTTTCCTGTTAGGCCTCAGGAGGTTAGCTCCAATTCAACCCGATTTAATCTTCAGAAAGTTGACTGGTTTTCATTTCAGGAACAAATGATAAAAGCGCTTGATGATTTAAAAGAGGAGCTAATTACTGATTCTCCTGAAGTCGTCTTTGAAAAACTTTCTCAAACCATTCGGGAAACATTGACAAGTGTTGGTGCATATTTGCGAATAAAGAATCCTGGTAAAAGGAAGCCACAGCCTCTTTGGTGGAACCAGGATTGTATGAATCTGGTAGACTGTAGAAAAGAGGCTTTGAGAGTTTATTTACAAGATCAAAACTTGGACAACTTGATTAAATATAAAAAAGTGAGTAATAAGGTTAAAAAGGATCTTAGAAAAATTAAATCTGCATCCTTCGAAAGACGGTCTTATGTCTAATATGGGGGTAATAATTAAAAATAGGTTTACTACAGAGGAATCCACTGAAGTTAATAAATTAAAGGAGGGCTTAATCAGACGAGATATTCCAATTAGGAGGCATCAGCTCATGTCTGTAGCTGATATAAATAATCCGATGAATTTACCTTTTTCTAACTCAGAATACCGTTCTTCTTTGTCTTCGTGTAATGTTAAATCATCCTCTGTATTGGACATGATTTCCTACGAGATAATTAAAAAGCTTCCTCTTGCGGTTTAAGACTTTATTCTTGAGGTTTATAACAAAATGTATATCACCGGACTCTACCCTGAAGCCTGGAAAAAAACTTTAGTAAAATTCATCCCAAAAAATAGCGGAGGATTCAGACCAATCTCCCTCACATCCTGCCTGTCAAAATTATTCGAGCGTTTGGTTCAAGGACGTTTAGAATACTTATCTGAGACATTGGGATGGCTTCCGGATTTTCAGTACGGCTTCAAAAGAGGAAGGTCTGTGGAGGACGCCGTAGCCTCTCTTGTCTCTGATATTAGTGGGACTCTTTCTCAAAAGGGGTCTACAGTTGCTCTCGCTCTGGACATAAAGGGAGCTTTTAGCTCAATTTTTCCGGATTCTATTATCAATGAATTGCTGGCTTTGGGCGCTCCCACAAGAATAATCAATTTCGTCAGTTTTTTGGTTTCAGAAAAACATCTCTTATTCTCAATCGATCAGAAGGATCCTGACATCTCTGGGATAGGGGTCCCTCAGGGCAGAGTTTTGTCCCCTTTTCTGTTTAGCCTCTCATTGAGAAATATAGGGGGAGTAATTGCTGAAGATGTCAGGTTGATTATGTATGCAGATGATATTCTCTTATATACTTCTCATGAAAATTTAGAGGAATCTATAAACCGAATTGAGAGTGCTTTCCAACAAATTTCTACGTGGCTGATGGACAGAGGACTCGAAGTTTCTATTCCGAAAACCCAATTCATGATCTTCTCTAAAGAGAAAAAGATTTTAAATACAAATCACACTATTAAATTGACAGATCAAAAGTTATCTTGGCACCCTCACATTGATTATATTATTCTGAGAGTGGCTAGTGCCAAAAATGTTATCCGCATTATTTCACGAGTAAATTGGGGGCCCTCCCCTCCTCCCTACTTGTCTGCAAGGTCTAATAGAGGCCATTGCTAAGTGGGGTTCATTGTTTACGTGGAGGGCGAGTAATACGCATTTGAAGGGAATGGACAGAGTTCTCTTTGCTTCATTTAGGTCTGCCTTAGGGTTACTGAGAACCGTACCAATACCTAACCTGTTGTCAGAGGCTGATATCCATCATTCTCTTTTATCCAGGGCTGTCTGTGCACAACAATCATCTCTAAAATTTTCTAGATGGTCAAAGAGCCCAACTTTTGCAAAACTTGAATCTTTGAATGATAATTCAAATAGTGCCAAAAAAAATCAACCCTGACAAAATAGGACTTATGTCGCCACTACGTGTTACAGAAGGTATCAGAAATATGCTACTTAAGACGTAATCCTTCATATTTTGATCTCTCTTGGAGGCAAATTTTATTAAAAAATAACACAGATGTTACTTTTGAATTAGAGTTAAAACAAGATTCGAACCCTATAATATTAAATTGCATCAGTACATTATGGAAAACTTTTCGGATAGTACATGTATCTTCACAGATGCTTCCCAAAATCTATTAACATTCAGATCAGCCATTTCATTTTATATCTCCTTTGCTGAGATTAGGTATGGAGTTAGAATATTTTCTTTCCACTCAATTTTGTCATTAGAGCTGATGGACATTTCGGCCGCCATCCAACTCTTTATTACCTATAGTCTTAAAAATATTAACATTCTAAGTGAGTCTAAAAAATCTATAAATCTATTATCATACTCTTTATACGGAAGACATATTTCTTCTGTTCATATTCAATCAATTGTAAAGTTAATTGATCAATATAATTGTCTCGGGCTAGAAGAAGTCTCTTTTTTATGGATCCCAGGTAACTCGGGAATTATAGGAAATGAGATAGCCGACAATCTGGCAAAAATTTCTTTAGAATTTCCTATTTCTCATAGAAACCAAATAGTATATGAAGATTTGAAAAGGCTCATAAACGATGACTACATTTTTTTGGAGTAAGCTATGTTGGCCATACGGTTTAATAGCCGGTTCCACTATTATATATTACCAAAATATCAGCGTAAAAACTAAGAGACCGTGGTTTAATGAGTATAGAAATCTCGATAGACGCTCGATAAATTTAATTACATCCCTAAGGACGGGTCACACTCGCACTGCTGGTCATTTTGCTAAGGTCAATTGGAATTTCCAGATTAGTTGTAAATGCGGACATCGGGATATAACTCTCAGACATCTATTGTGTGATTGCACGCTTTATGTTTCTGGTAGATCTAGAATATTGGAATATTTGTCAACGGTTCCCTCAGATACAACAGACCCGGTAACAAATCTTAGAAAGGCTGCTTTGCTGTTGTGGAGAGGCAAGCATTATGAAATAATAAAATTCTTCAAAAAACAAAAACTATAATATGAGAAATTTAACAAAATTTTGTTTTAGTAACACAAATTTATGATAAAAAAATCAAAATTCATGGTATGAACATTGAGCATCATTAGCAATATACCATCAACCAAATCAATGTCCTTAACAATATGTTCCCTTAAAATTTTAAATAACCTATCTTGATTTCCTTAAATAGCAATCACTCTGATATTGCTTGCTTTATAATTGAGGAGGTCACACAGGAGTCATAAATAACAAAACCTAAATGTTCATAGGAATTTTTTATAAAATTTATAACTCATTTGGACAACAATTCTTAGCGAAATTCAAATTTCGCGCCATCACTATCGGAATTAAAGCAGAATTCATACAGTCATGGCTATTTGACCCTCGGGGACAACAGGCCACTAACCAAAATCAACCCAACCATATAAAATGTGCTGGACTATGATTTGGAGAAGTGTAGTCAATGATATTCATTTGTCAATAATTAAACCTTCGAATGAATATATTGAACGAAAATATATAATAAAGAATATAGCGAAAACGTGGTTTATTACTAATGAAGAAAACCTCCATTCATCAAAGGCAGAAAAAACAAACCAGTGTTAAAGATAAATTACATTTAAATTATCCTAAAAAATGAAAGCTTTAAAACTATAAGTTCTAGCTACTTTCCTGTGATTTTAAGGATTCATTACAATGAGTTTAAAATTTAATAAGGTTAACGAAAACTAGTTGTACAATATCTTAATATAAATCATGATACTTACTTGCATAGTTACTGTCCCAATTTGATTAGCACACTCCCATTTATTAAGGCCTACAAGATTTCCAGGTCCAAAGTCTAGTCTACATGACCACCTGTATGACCGAACTACTCGATCAGTCAGACCAATTATCATTTCATTTAAACCATCCTTATCAATATCAGCTACAAGTACTACTTTTGTATTTGTAGGAATTCTCTGAACATGTACACATGATAATTTTTCCGGTAAATCAATAGTTTCCTGCGAAGTTCCTGTTTTCTCCGTACTTTCTATATTTTTTTCCTTTTGACTTCTATTAATTGGTTCTGCAGAAAAAATAAAATTCTTTATTTGGATAAGAACTGTTTCCCCATTCGACACATTTAAGTTTTGATAACAATAACAACAATGTATTTAACTAGATTTTAAATTACAACTTTTGTATTTTCTAATACTTTGTACAAATGCGCTTTGCCCGTTTGTTTGAATATCTAAATAAACTTTGATTATCAACTCCAATAAGTCGAGTATGATAAACGTATTTTTATTTTATTATGTTGGATTCAATTGTCTTTCATTCATTTTTTAAAAATCCCTTATTATTTTCTGTCATTCTGAGCGGCTGATTATAAATAGGCACTTTATTATTTCTTATTTATTATTTAAAGTATAATTTCACACTTTAGAACTTTAGAAAACATTAAAATGATAATTTTATGTTGCCTGAATTGTTTTTCTATTTAAAAAATTGTAGTTAAGTTACTTTTACAAAAATTTTTCTTTATTTTTTTATTTTTAAACTTTACAGTCTTTAATTAAAACAAGTAATTTGGAATGACGAGATTCATTATAAAACATGGAAATGAATCCGATGAATTTTTAAAATAATATCTGCCATATTGGATCCGCCATTTAAAATTTTTTAAATCTGACCTCAGATTCGTAATTAGAGACCCCAAAAATCCCCGAGTAATAAATTTCAAATGAATCCGATGAATTTTTTAAAAAAATGCCCGCTATATTAAATCCGCCATTTTTGAATTTTTAAGATCTGACTTCTAATTCGTAATCAGCGACACCAAAAACCCCCGAGTAACAAATTTAGTTAAATAAAGTTAAATGTCGTTTTTGGGAAATTTTGACCACGCCATTCGAAAAATCGACCTCAAAAATAGTTAAAAATGGTATGTTTGGAATGTATAAATTTTTTTATGCTAACAGTACGAAATTGAAATCCAAGTCGAAAAGTAGCACATTTAGACGTTAAAGGGTTAATTAATACTATCTGCCTTCAGAACAATGTCGATATTGATCTGTTTTCTGCGTGATTAACAAAGTTTAATATTTTTCATTATACATTTAGTTTGTAAATACTTTACTATAATTTTCTTCATGTAAATTCTTCTGTAGTGCACCTTAATGGATTTCGAATAATTGGCTTTATAATGTTACATATAAAAAAATATCTTACCAGTTGTTTTTTTCAATTCAAATTTATTTCCACCAAAAGAACTCGTATTAGAAGTAAAAAATGTATTAATTTGCGGTTGATCATTGTAATAAATATGCACCCATCCATCATCGCAAATAACAACAAGAGCGTTTTTTCCAGAATTAAAAATGTCACCTATTGTTAAGCAAGAAATTAAACCAAGACCAGATATTTTTTGCCACAATTCTGTTCCCTGCAATTTAAAAAACAGTTTTTAGTTTTTAAATTTACATAAAAAGTACAGTAAAACCCCGTTTATCCGAGCTCGCTTTATCCGATGTCTCGATTATCCGAGGTGGTGTCCCAGTAGTAAATTTTGCATTATCCGAGTCTAGTCCGCGTCATCCGAGTTATTTTTAATTTTAGTTTTTTATAAATATGAGTTTATTTTTAATAAATTCAAATTGTTTAAATTATTATGGAATATATAAAATATTATTTTCCCGTTTGTAATAAATAATAATTGTTTAAACAATAATAATGTTAAATTGTAATAAATAATTAACAATTCGGATTATCCGAGTTTTCGCCTTATCCGAGGTAGGTCCGGTTCACGCCACATTAGCTCGGATAACCGGAGTCCTATTGTATTAAATCATCTTAATAAAATCAGACCATCTAAATCAGGTTTTAAATAAAACATTAATTTCTCAACATTTTGAAAGCTCTGCTTTTCTCGTTGGAAACATAACAAATAATTTTTGTTATATTAAATATTTTATATATGGAAAATAAATATATATTATAAAAAACTATAAACACGATATTTACCTTAAAAATGTGTAGACAACCTTCAGCTGTACCAACAACTAATTCATTTTCTCCATCATTATCAACATCACCAATCATTAGTCCATGTCTAAAAACTGTACCAGGAAGTTCCCAACATAATTTATTGACAAAGCACACAGCTCTCATTTTGTAATTCATTTAAAGTTAAATTTAAAGGAATTCGATGAGATGGTAAAAAAGAAATAAGATGTTGCCATCGACTTGGTGGCCAAACAATATATGTCGCTTTTCCAATGATTAAACTGAGATTAACAGGTCCAAATGAATTGGAGTCCAAGGAAACGCCAGTATGATCTCCTTCTACCCAACAGTAGCCATGCGGAACCTATATAAAAATTAATTAAATTATAATATTAATATTACTACATTCATAATCACGCCATAACTGCTGACACTTAAGGGAAAGTGGGAGAATTGGAGCCCCTTAAGGAAAATGATTAAAAAAAACTAACTTATTCTTATAATAAAATATTGTTTTGGTCATTTTTTACTTCTTTTGTTATTTATCTTCAATTATAATTGGTAATTATACAGTTAAGGAGCATAATTACCTTATAATTAATTAGATATTAAGAAAAAAAATCGGACAAGTGCGAGTTACACTCGCATTGAAACCGAAGGTTCCGTACCTTGACTTAAGGGAAAAGTCAACTTTTTTCCAAAATTTTTATTTTTCGAAAAAAAACTCAATTAAAACAACTTTCTATTATGCTTATTAAATTTTTCCTATAATCCACACATAAGAATACGTAAAAATTAAATCAATTTGAAGCCCTTTAGATGAAATTTTCTTCGTTTTTGGGGAAAAATTTATGATTTTTATCGAAACTTATCAGTTTTTCCTTGAAAACGCTATGATAATCAACTCCAATTGTGCTCTTTATATTTTTTTGTAATCTACACGTGAAAATGTATAAATTTGAATCCCTTTAGATAAAATTTTCTTCTTTTTTCATTGAAAAATCCATGATTTTTTCTAAAAATATCAGTTTTCCTTAAAAACAATATGATCAAAAGCTCCAATTAGATTCGCTATATTTTTCCTGTAATCTACACGCGAAAATACAAATGTATACCAAATTTCTGCCCTCCAGATAAATTTGTGTTGCCGTTAGGGGGGAGGGAACATACCTTGCTTCACTAGTCTCATTAATAGGGATCTCCCTTTGGATACGAAACCCTAAAAATGTAAATTTCCAAAAAAATAATTTTCTAAAAGGAAGCTTTTTATCACATTATCCCACCTGTGTACATTTTCCAAAGTATTTAAGGCATAAAAAAGACTTATAGCTTCTTTTATTAAAATATTTAATTTTCAAAAAAATATGATAAGCCATCAAGTTTTGCCTGAGTTAAAACATGATATGCCTTGTTTTTCGACTAATTTGACTGGACTAGTAAAAGAGGTACAATTTACAATAAATAGACATTGTATATTACTTTTTAATCTTTATTAACGTTCAAAATTACAATAAATAGAAATTGAATGTATTTTTTAACCTTTATTAACGTTATAAAATGTTTTTTCTTGAGAAAATGTCATTTCATAAAAAACAAATAAATAAAAATAATCTAAAAAATATCAGAATTTAAAAAAAAATTGTTGGTTGAAAAACGTTAAAATTAAAAAAAAATAGTATTATTCACCTTGCACTATTCTGCACAGTTCACATGTAAGAATGGGTTACTCGTGCATTTTTCGAAATCCTATTGGCTCCTGTAACTGCTGTTCACGCATTAAACCTTCGACACTAAGGTAGGGGTGTCACTTTTCAAAAAGCACGAGTGACCCATGGTTACATTTTAAGGGTTAAACGAGGTATATGATCACTATGAAATTTTGCAAGGATTATTGGATCATCATATCTGACGCTCCACGACATAAGGTACCTAAGCTTCCAAAACTTTTAGCTTATATTAAATGACCCAGTGGGCAAAGGGACGTCTTAAAAACGTCTAAAAGACGTCTCATCCTGTCCGCGGACATCCGGGGACAATGATGATAAAGTCTCGGAAATCATAAAGACAACTAAACAAACAACTACAAAAAAATTGTTAAAATTTTTTTTTTTTTTTAAAAAAGCAATTAGTCATGCAATAGCCCCAGTAAGTTAAAGAAGATTTCTGGTAAGTTTAATGAAAATCGGTTAAAAATTGTCTGAGTTGCATTGCACGGTGAACGAAAAAAAAAAAGTTGTGAGAAAAACGCATTTAAGGTATCACATCGGCACTAATCGGAGTCAAAAGTTTGTAGCTCGCATTACTACTTCCCGCAGTATACTTTCGCCCTCAATTCCCTATACTCTCAGCCCATACTGTACCAACTTCTACAAATACACTCGTACACGTATACCCCACACTAGCAGCGATTAGAAGGAGTAGGAGGTTTGACAACGTCGCTATAAGTCTCGCTTTGACTACTGTGGACTACTGTCTCTCTCTAACTAATGTTACCATCCTGCGATGTTGCCACATCAAAGTGGCGGGTGTGCTATATATTGCAAATGACGTCATGAAATAGAATTTTTAATTTATAATTACAAATATGAGAGATTCTTTTTCAATCGCCCCAGCCAGTGGCGCACATTGGTTTTCGGAGAAGGGGAGCGGCGCTAACTTCTTCGGACCCCCCCCCTGCAAAAATTCTGACAAGCAAAAAAAATTGCATGAAGGCGTAAAGTGTCATTTCCCATGTAACTTACAAATGGTTTTACCCTTTTTCTAAAAACAAAACATTTTGATAATTGTTCAATCAAAGTTAAAAATACGCGTGTTCATGCAATTTTTCAACTCAATATGTTTCAGCTCATTTTTATATGTAAAATTTTAATTTTTTATTTATATTTTTATCCACCCTCTGGACACCACCCACCCTTAGACCAGGGGGAGCGGCCGCTCCCCCTGCTCCAGCCGAGTGTGCGCCACTGGCCCCAGCCCAAAAAGTCAATGTTCTGGGATTGGCTTCATACTTTGGTAAATTGTTGTCCTATATGATAGTAATAAATCCCTAAAATATAAATTAATTAAAAAAATATTTGTAGAAAGTAGAGGGGGTTGAAGTTTTGACGTTAAGGGTAACATTGTCATTTTCAAATCCGTTTAACTATGACAAAAGTTAATGGATTTTAATTTATCTATAATGAATTTTATTGCATTTTTCACGTACTTTTCAAAAATGTATATGAAATTTAAAAAAAAAAATTTTTAACCCCTTTTTTGTCAAAATCAACCCTTATTTTTCGATTTTCACCCCTTCGGGTATTTTTTTTTTTTTTTTTTTTATTTTCATTGGAAAGCTGAGGTTTTTTCCGATGAGCTATGTAAATATGAAAATGGGACAACAATAATTTTGTGAGAAACAGAATATTAAAGTAGGCGGTGCCGATAAGGGTGCCGTTAAGGGTAACATTGTCATTTTCAAATCTGTATAACTATGACAAAAGTTAATGGATTTTAATTTATCTATAATGAATTTTATTGCATTTTTCACGTACTTTTCAAAAATGTATACAAAATTTAAAAAAAAAAAATTTTGACCCCTTTTTTTTCAAAATCAACCCTTATTTTTCGATTTTCACCCCTTCGGGAATTTTTTTTTGTTTTTTTTTTATTTTCATTGGAAAGCTGAGGTTTTTTCCCATGAGCTATGTAAATATGAAAATGGGACAACAATAATTTTGTGAGAAACATAATATTAAATTAGGCGGTGCCTATCTAAATCCTCAAAGATGATCTCCAGGTACACCCCTTATCGGCACCGCCTACTTTAATATTCTGTTACTCACAAAATTATTGTTGTCCCATTTTCATATTTACATAGCTCATCGGAAAAAACCTTAGCTTTCCAATGAAATTAAAAAAAAAAAAAAAAAAATACCCGAAGGGGTGAATATCGAAAAATAAGGGTTGATTTTGACAAAAAAGGGGTTAAAAATTTTTTTTTTTAAATTTCATATACATTTTTGAAAAGTACGTGAAAAATGCAATAAAATTCATTATAGATAAATTAAAATCCATTAACTTTTGTCATAGTTAAACGGATTTGAAAATGACAATGTTACCCTTAACGTCAAAACTTCAACCCCCTCTACTTTCTACAAATATTTTTTTAATTAATTTATATTTTAGGGATTTATTACTATCATATAGGACAACAATTTACCAAAGTATGAAGCCAATCCCAGAACATTGACTTTTTGGGCTGGGGCGATTGAAAAAGAATCTCTCATATACGGCACGGTAAATTATAAATTTCTTTGTATATTTTAGTTCCAAATTTATTCGTGAATTCAACATTAGTTTTTGAAAAAAATTTATAGAAAACTTCTGATGATATTTATGAAAATGTACTTCTCCCCCATACATTAGTCCCGTCTCCCATGCAAAATAAGCAACTTTGATTGCTAATATCTCTGGTTTCGTACGGCGAAAATTCTTCATATTTTGCAAATTTGTCAAGAATGATAATAAGAACATATGGTAAAATTTTCAAAAAAATTTATAGAAAACGGTTTTACCGATGTGATACCTTAAAGTTTTCGATATACAAAAGGAGTGTTTCAACTATTGCCTTGAAAATTAATTGGATCCATTTGAAACTCGTTCCTCGCAGGTTTCCGGGGCCGCTGGTTACGAATCTGAAATCCGTTTTCGAAAATTCAAAATGTCCGGTTCAATATGGCGAACAGATTTTTAAAAATTAATTGGATTCTTTTGAAACTTGTTACTCGGGGGTTTTCCGTGTCGCTGCTTACGAATCTGAAATTCGTTTTCCAAAATTCAAAATGGTGGACAGATTTTTAAAAATTAATTGGATTCGTTTGAAACTTGTTACTTTGAGATTTTTGGGGACGCTAATTACGAATCTGATGTTAGTGTTCTAAAATTCATATTGGCAGATCCAGTATGGCGGACATTTAATTATAAAAAAATATTGTATGATATCGTCGGATTGTCTTTTGTTCTGTATAACCTCCATGAGGTTGGCGTCGACACTCAGAGTTACTACTGTAAAGAAGTATTGTTTCAGAGATTGACTTGATTCGCATTGGTATTTTGTTTTGTGAAACAATTTTCATAAAGAATTATTATTTTACAGTTTTGCTTGTTTTGCGTTCGTCCTTTAT